TTCTTCTTCACGCATGACTTGCAAAGGGATGGAGAAGTTCGAGTGGTACAAGTTCGATCCAGCGACAACTCAGCCGATCTCTTTACCAAGGCATTACCAACATCGACATTGAGGAAGCTCACGCATCAAATTGGAATGCGGAAACTTAAGGACTTGCAGGGATGACCAAAACAGGGGGAGTAATACGTGCTGTACTCTTTTTCCTTAACCATGGTTTTGTCCCAATGGGTTTTCCTGGTAAGGTTTTAATGAGGCAGCATCCCCAAGCGTATTACTGAGATCCTTTGGCATCTACACGGTTATGTCATCCAAGGGGGAGTGTTATAAACCACATGTTGGATGGACTCCATAACCGTGGACCTTATGCATATTCTAGAAGGCCCATGTCCATGTCCTAGAAGGCCCATGCCCATGTTCTTGAAGATTCTCCTTATGACGGCCTATATTGTACTTAGTGGGCTTTTGGGCTTTAGGGTTTACTAGCCCAATGGGGATTTGTCTCCCCTCATCATGTATATATATGTATCGAAATCTCATTCATTAATCAATAGAACAACACAGTTTACAACAAGATTTAAATATAAAAGTAATATGGCAATGCAAAATTTTGAAGTCCAAAAAAGAAAGACGAAAGAATTTGATAATGGGGTTTAAAACCAATTCTTAAGTATATCATATGAATTAAGTAATGTACATCTTTGAATGGATGTTGCGAGAAAAACGGACTAAACTATTAGCGGATTAGACTATTTTATTTTTGAGACGGATAACAATCCGTTGTAAATCAAGTTTATTTCTATATAAAAGTGGTGTATAGTTGATCCCTAACGGATTTTGTTTTTATTTTTCTCGATTCGGACCATTACGAACTATATGAATGTTAAACAAAAAGTGGTCCAATCCACAATCCAACCGCAACCATATGATGATATGAACTCTACATATTACTCGAAACTGGCAAATACACATCAATATGTTGTAAAAAAGAATTATCAAGATTTCTTCCTTTTTCATGTAGGTATTATTTTGTTAATGAAATATTACTAAGGAAAAGAAAATAATTAGCGGGAATGTGCCTTTAGTCAAGTGGTTAAGTCCACTTGACTCCGCTTTCTCCACCGGAGTTCGACTCAACTAAGTCGCGTTACCCCGCGTAGTAGGGATTGGCTATGGATCGGGCCTTGTCGATCCAAAGATGTCAAAAAAAAAAAAATTAGCAATACGTCTAAAAAGTTTGAAGTAAACAATTTGACAACGCGTTCTTGGTCTCCTTTGAACCAACCAACCAACCAGTCTTCTTTAATCTTTCATCTACGACACAGATTAAAAAAGAAACACCAAAGAACTGTGAGAGTTCAAGAAACAATTAATAGTTTGAGCTAAAAGCTTTTCTTGCATGAATGATATTATACTAATCCTTAAACACAATTCCTTAATCTCCTCCTCTTAAATACTCCTCAATATGTCTCTTCTCCTTCATCACAAATCACACTCACCACTCTCCTCTCAACATTTTCCTCCAACAAAACAAAAAACAATGTCTCCTTTTGCTCTGTTCCTCTTCACTTTCCTTGTCCTTTCAAGTAAGTCTCCTTACATACATATACATTAAGATTACGTAAACATAATCTTGTCCTTTTTTGTAACTCTCTTATGTTTTTACAGGTTCATGTTTCTCTGCGATTGGTTCCCAAAACAACAGAACAGTGTTAGCACTTGCAAGCAGAATTGGAATCAACTACGGAAAATTAGGCAACAATCTTCCTTCTCCTTACCAATCAATCAACCTCATCAAAACCCTTAAAGCTGGCCACGTCAAGCTCTACGATGCTGATCCAGAAACCCTAAAGCTCCTCTCTAAGACCAATCTTTACGTCACCATCATGGTCCCTAACAACCAGATCATCTCAATAGGCGCTGATCAAGCCGCTGCTGATAACTGGGTCGCCACCAATGTCCTTCCATACTACCCGCAAACCCGAATCCGGTTCGTCCTCGTTGGCAACGAAATCCTCAGCTACAATACCGATCAAGACAAGCAAATATGGGCCAATCTTGTCCCTGCCATGCGTAAAGTTGTGAATTCTCTTAGAGCTCGTGGGATTCACAACATCAAAGTTGGGACTCCTCTTGCCATGGACGCTCTTCGATCGAGTTTTCCTCCGTCGAGTGGTACATTCCGGGAAGATATCGCGGTTCCGGTGATGTTACCGTTGTTGAAGTTTCTCAATGGAACAAACTCTTTCTTCTTCCTTGATGTTTACCCTTACTTCCCTTGGTCCACTGATCCGGTTAACAACCATTTGGATTTCGCTCTTTTCGAATCGAATTCGACTTATACCGATCCGCAAACCGGTTTGGTTTACACCAATCTTCTAGACCAGATGCTCGATTCGGTTATCTATGCGATGACCAAGCTCGGTTATCCGAACATTCCTCTCGCAATCTCCGAAACCGGGTGGCCTAATTCCGGTGATATCCATGAAATCGGAGCTAATATTCTCAACGCCGCGACGTATAACCGGAATTTGATCAAGAAGATGACTGCTAACCCGCCACTCGGTACACCAGCTAGGCGTGGTTCACCTATACCGACGTTTTTGTTCTCCTTGTTCAATGAGAACCAGAAACCCGGTTCTGGAACAGAGAGGCATTGGGGAATTTTGAATCCGGACGGTACACCGATCTACGACATCGACTTCAGCGGTACAAGATCAGTTTCCAGTTTTGGTACGTTGCCTAAACCAAGTAACAATGTTCCCTTCAAGGGCAACGTGTGGTGTGTGGCGGTTGATGGGGCCGATGAGGCAGAGTTAGGGCTGGCACTAAACTTTGCTTGCGGAAGAAACAATGAAACCTGTGCAGCGTTGGCGCCAGGGGGAGAATGCTATGCACCGGTAACGGTTACTTGGCATGCAAGCTATGCGTTTAGCTCATACTGGGCTCAATTCCGGAACCAAAGCTCTCAATGCTACTTCAATGGTTTGGCGCGTGAGACCACGATCAACCCTGGTGAGTCTATCTAAACTTGTCGCACAAGAAAACTCTAGATAGACGTAAATACTCTTTAATTTATTTCAAGGGCATTTCTTGAATAACTTTTTTTTATGATAAAATTCTTGAATTAAGTTTAGATACTCTTGTGATTGTAATTTGTAATGATTACTATCTTGTTACAGGAAATGAGCGTTGCAAATTTCCTAGCGTTACGCTGTGAGGCTGCCTCGTGACACAGGCGTGTGGAGAAAAGGATCAAAAGCTGGATCATTCGCATAATTAAGTCGATTATATTTCTTGATGGTTATTATTAATTTCCTTTTTATTCTAAGTTTTTACCCCTTGCATTTCCCATTGTTGTGAAAGATTTATAATAATAATCTATAAAAATTTGTTACTCATATTATAAGGCCAAGATTACATCCCCTCATGTCTCATGCATTTATCTTAGTATAGTTTATTAATGATCTAAAGAAAATTACTAGAATTTTATTATTTAGTCAAGAACATGTTTTGCGATCATTACAATACGAGAAATATGAAGTTTTGATTCACATGTTCCTAAAGAACACGATGAAGAAATTGTTCTTTTAAGGAAAAAATAATAATTCGTCTGTCTTTTCTTTAGCGCAAACTCTTGTCTTTCTTGTTAAACGGAAAAAAGATTACCAAAATTACTCAAATATATAGAAAAAATAAATTACATTTTAACTTTTTTGTGCAACAATTACATTAATTAATCAAACTAATTAAAACATATAGTATTACTAGTGTTTTGTTTGATGGTGTTTGTCACAAAAAGAAAAAGAAAGAACAATACAATTGTTTTCATTTACGTTACAAAAGGAAGAATAAGAATCATCTCTCTATTTAACATGGCGGCATCAGAACAAATGGGTCGGGTCGGATCCAACAGTAATTAGGTCGGATCATTTATAAAACCTTTTAATAAAAAGTCGGAATTTACTTTAGCAATAAAATCCCAAACATAGAAAACCAGATATAAACAGCTTAATAGTTGTTTCTCTCTCTTCTCTCTCTTTTATCTTTCAGAGAGAAAGAAGCTTTTCCGTTCAGATTTCACCGGTGGTTGTTCTCCGGTGAATTTTGTCTCGCTTGATAGGCGAATTTCTCGTCTAGCTGCACCGGCTCGCTCAGTGGTGTGGGCTGGCTTTGCTTCCGGCGTAGATGGCTTCGTTAGCATCTTCGTCCGGCTATGTTTCCGACACCTGTGGTCGGCTTGTTTTCGGCATGGAGCGGCTTGTATAGCGGCGGTAGTTGGTTTCTTTGTTATTCCGACGGCCTAGTGCGGCTATAGTCTCGGCTAATCCTTACCGCTTTTTATTTTCTTTTGTTATGTTTTTATCTTTTGTCTAAAGTTCAAGGTAAAATCTCATATGGCGATGATATATGTGGCGCTCGATTTCGAAGAATCAAGTCTCTAAGGTTTGTGCTTTGCCGGAGGAGTATCGAGCTTCGAATTTAACTCCTAGTTGGATTAGATCTCAAGATCTAGAGAATCAATAAAGACTTGGAAGTTTAAAAAAAAAGCGCAAGAAGATCTGATATAGCATGGTATCGTGGAAAAGATTCTACAAAATGAACTGAATCGTTTATCCTCAGTAGGAATCAGAGGTGATTCAGTTTCTGATTTGAGAATCGTTAACTTTTTCACATGATTACCAGGTCAAGAAATTATCATTCGGTCTGTTTTCTTTTTGCCGGCGAATGTTCCAAACCGGCGGTAGACTAGACGATGATGACGAGCTGGACGCGTGTTCACAAAGCGATGAAGTTCGATGTAATAAGCATCTGTGCGGCAAGCTTCCAAGTTGAGAGATGTGATCGTGCGTTTTAATTATCTTTGCTTAAGGGTTTACTTTGTTGGGCTTGGTTTTCATTTTCAGGTCCAGTAAAAAATAATGGCCTATGTTTGTCTTGGTTTACTCATAACCAAGCATTGTATAGTTTCTTTGGTTTTATTAATAATAATAATACACCAGTTGACAAAAAAAAAAAACAGCTTAACAGTTGGTTAAAGAGTCAAATCTCACAAAAGCAACATTTACGGGTTAGTTCCGTGGCTTGGTTTAACGATTTCTTCGGTTCGGATAACCTTACCGAATCAACCAAACCAAAACCAATGCTACTAACCAGAACCGGGATGGAAGCAAACTACACATAACATGGTCTTAAGGCATTAAGACCTTTACATAATAAAGAGGGGTAATCAGCAGAGCTTGGTGTCGAAGTTGAGAGTGATGCCCATGCTGAACAGCTCCTGACACAGAAGTTTAGCTCCATACGGAACATAGACTCTAACCACATGGTCTGAGGATACGCAGACTCTACAATATGGCCCTCTGATCTTTCTTCCACTGCTTGGAGTCCTCTCGATCACATTCGCATAGGTCTTACATTTTCTGCAGATGTGCATCTGAGAAGAGTCACTTAGAGTGAAGAGACGCTCGTGCAGATTAGCAGATGCACCGTGAGCTATTAGGCAGTCTCGCTCCATTTCTCCAAACCTTATCCCGCCAAACCTCTTCCTGTCTGCGACTTGCTGGCGTGTGAGCGGGTGGACTGGTCCGGTGTTCCTGAACTTGACTTTGTCCTCTGACATGTGGACAAGTCGCTGGTAGAAAGTTGGGCCCATGAATATCAGAGAACGCATCATCTCACCCGATCTACCATTGTAGACCCTTTCGTTTCCCCATCTTGAAAAGCCGGCCCTAACCACAAATATTTACCATTGGTAATGGAATCAGGACTCAAGAATCAACAATAATCTAAGAAAGGTTAAATGAATCAGACATAAATCACAAGGCTCACAGCATCAATCCTCTAACTAATTTATATACTGGTACATTGCTTTTGAGCCTATTTTTGTGTATTCTCTAGACGTTTTTCAGGAACAATAGAAGTATTAATCAACCAGAGAACATTGAACTTCTTAGTTTTTTAGTCTTACAGAGATACTTGCCTGTCATATAACTCATGCTCACTTCTATTTTGCCTGTCAGAGATACTTGCCTGTCATATATCTCTGTACTTGGAGGCCTGGAAACTTCTTAGTTTTTTAGTCTTACAGAGATATATGACAGGCAAGTATCTCTGTACCAGGGCTTTCACTTCTATTTTGCCTGTCAGAGATACTTGCTTGTCAGAGATACTTGCCTGTCATCCAGGCCTCCAAGGTTTGATCTGCTGTTCAACATAACTTAAAGCATTGTTCCCACAGCGAAAAGCTTCACAAACTGCATCAGCTTCATGGATAGAAGCTATGAGACTGTTGGTAATGCTTGCATCATCACCATCAAAAGCAATCAGATTCATGGCTTCTTTGTCTGACGAAACACCCAGCGCAAAGAACAGGAGCCAGACTGGAATCTCAGTCGACAAGAAGTACACTGTCAGTACTTTCTCCCTTTTCTTATAGTCTTCTGATTTCTCATTCTCCGAGAGGCGCACAATGAACCTATTTCTTTTATTTTCGGACCTGAAAGAGACTGTCCATGGTGAGTTAGAAATCCACAGTCTCTTTGTGCACATCTGTTCTTGAGCTATAAACACCTGCAAAACACAATATAATCACGTTAGGAAGTTGTATAACAACTTGAAAATATTTTTTGCAGTATATATCAGAGTCAAGTCATCTGTCCCAGAGCCTATGACTGCAAAGAACGCTTCCTGTAAGATTTGAATAGTCATGGCCTCATGGTCAAGCCAGAAAGGAAAGAAAAAGTCTATATCTTTGATGCTAATAAAGTATGCATAAAGGACAAGCAAAGACGGAGCCTGCTGAGCAAAGGAAAACGGCGAGAAAACTAATTTCCACTAAAATAGTTCAAAATAGAAATCCCATGACAGTGGCTATGAAAAAAGATCCCAAACACGATTAATTTGTTTAGTATTTAATGAAGTTTGAAGTACTTGAATTGTTTTTCCTTTCCTTCAGTATGTGTTTGTGTTGATAAAGGTTTTGTTGTATGTATGTTTAAGCATATAAAGTCATAAATAAGTTAAGTTTCTTACTTTCTTAACCATCTCCATTAGGAAAATAAAATGAACCAAATAGGTTATTGTCTAATTTGTAACATCTTTTTTGCTGATAACTACTATTATCTGATGATAGAAAATTGTAATTATACTCTTGTTTGTGTTGTATAAATTGCTGACAAACAAAATCCGTTTTGGCTTAGAAAATAAAGTTTATTTTAAGTATTGAATGGCAATATGCATATATGTATGTATTAGTTTAACTAACCTTCTCAGCCCCCTTTATCACAAAATAGCCACCCTGATCAAAGGCACAATCCCCCTTTCTGCAGTTTTCTTTTCCTTTCTCGCTTGTTTTGCAAAGGACAGATTTCACCATGACAGGAATGCTACCAATTAGAATGTCCTGCTTTTTGACCTCAAGTATCTTCTTCTCGACATATTCGTCTTGTCCCGTCTTGAATTTGTCGCTTTTAACAACAGTTTTTATGAACACCTAGTGAATTTATAAAGTGAAGAGGCAGTTAGACAATAAACTACATTTATAAGAATAAGATACATGGACAGCAAAACAGAAACAGCATCAAAAGTTTGATAGTACAAGAGTCATTGCACACAAGCATGAAACACTCAAATTAAAGCACAGTGAGGGAATGGGGAAGAACTAAATAAATAAAAAGCTGAAGATGTTTTTCTTTTATTGCATCCAATCTTTAAAATGAAACAAACTAAAGCTTATTTCGTTTGAGCACCCACTACTACAAGAAAAAGTAATCACAATTCAAATTTTGGCCCGGAAAAAAAGCAAGAAACATCTAAAGATTGGGAGCAGACAAAATCATCAATCTTAAAAACAACGAAGCCTGAAACATACCTCTACTTCACACGAAAATGTAAATGTAATAAATCTCTTTTACTAGATATTTTGCTCACGTAAGAAATCCAGCGAATGCAAATAAGGAACCAAATCCAAGAATAGAAAACTTGTAAAGCCAAAAAGAGTGAAACCAGTTTCCAGACATATATGTGCCATAACCCTTAATATATTATTTTATGGCAAGTTAAAGGTTTTGATAAGTTTGAGAAATCTATGACAGGAACCTCAGTGTATGTCAACATCTTCATATATGTGTCAGCAAGAGTCTAGTAGAAACATCAAAAAATGAGCTTACTCTCGACTACATAGACATATTGCATAATGTTGAACTAAAAAGTGATAGTTAACTGGTCTTTCTGAGTTTTCAAGCAAGGGAAATCATTTATCAAATCCAGACAAGCTTACTTAATTTTTCGACAAAGATTTTGTTACCTCAACTTGGACATTGACTTTGATCCTTGCTGAATATGTCATGTTCTGAAGCCTGGCATGCCATGGGAGAAACTCAAGCTCCTTGTCATCGGAAAAGAAAGTGGGCTTCTCCACAGTGACTTTTCCGAATTTCACCGTAGCGTATCTCCAATCGTTATCCTTCTTCTTTATCACATCAAACGACGGTTCCACAAGCATATCACCAAAGGATTCAAACACATCCTGAAGCCCGTGTTGAATGAAGAAGTTGTAGGAATTGAGCTGATGACTTATAAGTCCATACTTATCAAAGAAGGAAGTTGCAGCTTTCTTGCAGAAACTCTGGAGAAAACTTTCTCCTAGCTCAGATAGATTGATCTCCGCAGTAGCCTCGATCTCTTCAATATCCATCTCATCAATGTCCATCTTTTCTGGTAACAGAAAATTAATTCCGTTCAACAATATAGTCCATCTTTTCTGGTATACCTCAAAACACACTGAAACAAAAAAAAAACCCCAAACAAAGATTAAGAAGCCGTGAAAATCATGAACCACGAAAATGCATCATACGAATACAAACACGCAATCAAAAACTTTCCCCTAGAACCGAATCATTCTCTAAAGCATATAGTCTCCGGAATTTCCAATGCTTAAAAGCAGAATCAAAGCGTAATACCTAAAATGGGTACCTTGATTGCTTAAGCTGGCACGATGGAGTAAAACGGCGGTGTTGGAGGAAGGCAGAGTAAACGTCGCCGGAAAATCGGAGAGATTTCGCCGTAGAAAACGAAGAGAGTCAAAACCCTTGGCTCACTTTTTCGATGGTTAAACGAAGCGAAGCAGTTGACGAGGGAGTGAAGAAATTGAGTGTCGTTTGTTGAAATGACGGGTATGTCCTTATGTTGTTCTCGTGTTAGTGTGCTTTGTTTAGTTCAAAATAAAAGGGTAATTACGTCAATTTTGAGAACAACTTTTTTTGTGATTGCAAATTGAAACTTTAGAAATCTATCAAGTCCAAAGATTGTTATGTTCTATATGGATATAAACTAGGATCGGACCCGCGGTCCACCGCTGGGAGAATATTGGTTTATATACGTTGCGTTTAATATTGCGTGTGTTTTTTAGTAGAACGAATCGTGTAGTAGGCTGGGGAATATTCATAATAACGAATTGTAGAGAAAATGTAAAATTGTATATAAATATACCCATCGTATTAATTATGATTTACAAAATAGAATTTTGTGTTTTAAAATTCTAAAATTAGACGATTCATGGGAATTAGAGCAATCAAAATAGGTCAAAAACCGCGGGTCGAGCCCACATCATCTCACTATGGGGCAGATTTGGGAAAATATATTAAACCCGCAAATAAGCGGGCCACATGGATTAATTCGCAGTGGGTCATAGGTTTAATCGGTTTTCATCCGCGGATTGGCGGATCAGCCCGCATATTAGTATTTATTGATAAAATTATAACTTATTCAACATGTGGTAATTTAAACAAACTTTTAATAGTATTTTGATTTATTTATTTATTTTAGTAGTATTTTAAATTTTGGTTACTTTAAAATTATTTAAACAAAATCCACGGACAATCCCGCAAATCCGCATACATTCGCGGGACGGGTTTGTATTTCATATATGCTACCCGCGGGTCGTGCGGACCGACTAACCACAAGTCAAAATATTTTTTGTCTATCACAAAACGGACTTAACGGGACGAATCAACTCGCTTTGACAGTTCTAATGGGAATATTATTTAGTCATACAATAAAATGAAGTTTGGACATAGTAATAATAGAATATGTATCTTATCTTTATGGGTCTCAAAAACCTCACATGGTTTTGTGTTGAATCTCTCGGTTCTCTTTCTAAATGTGAGGATCTATGCTTTATTTTCTCACCTTTGTATCTTCTGGATGATATATTTCCTATGTTTTGTTGCAGTGTCATGTATTTGAAGAAAGTTCACTGAAATTGAAGAAACATTCTTATTATTGTCTCTTTATCTTATTTGCATAAACATACAAGCAAAGATGGGAAGGAGATGATGCAACCTCCACAATCTGCAGACCCCATGGCTTCTTTAAGTAAGATTTGCTTTTTAGTTTTCTTATGATGTACAAGGAGAACTTCCACAAGCCTTTTGTCGTCGGGCTGCTGTCAAAGGATGTATCTATGTACGTTTGGAACAATTTACTGCATTGTGTACTATGTTGCTGCTGTGGTATTTGTTACTTGGTTTTGTTGACGAAAGGATTCTTACTTGATTATTTTAAAATCTTTTAGATTAGTCACGTTAACTTTATTATCACAAGGTTACTTCTTATGGCATGTAGACTGATTTCGGACCTGCTGTCTCCTTTATTCTTTGAGCAACATTTGGTTTATGTAAACTTAAAGTGTTGTGTCTTTGAAAGTTTATGCATTGATGTCTTTGTGCATGTCTTTATGTTTTTGTTTATTGATGTCTTTATGTTCAAGTGTTTTTGTGTATTGATGTCTTTATGTTCATGTTTATGTCTTTATGTATGTGAATCTCCTCCTCTAAACATGTTTATGACTTTTGTTTCCCAAGGTACAAAGCAAATGCTGTTTCTTCTTGCTTTTTCCTTTGTTTGGAAACGAAGTAACATATCCGATTCACGTATTCATGTAGGGAGGATGGGAGAATGATGACTCAGTCAGGGAGGCTGCAGTGAGTGGAAGGCATCTTCAACACGCTGAGAAAACAGGACAAGAAGAGGACAAGTCATTGGCAAGTTGAAGCTAATGGAGACCACATATTTCTATTTTGCTTGTACACCACATTAGTTTTGTGTCAATAATTCCACACTCGCTTTGGGATTTCTATATATTTCACTCTTGTTCTCACAAACTAATGCAACAATCGTTTACAATTCAACTCTTCTTCTTTATACTCCAAGTGATTTACCAAAGACTCTTGTTCTTTATACCACAAAACAATCTTTTCTATTTTTCTAAACTCTTGTTCTTTTTACCACAAAACAATCTTTTCTAAACTCTTGTTCTTTATCAAAATCTCGTCGATATGATGGTCCACTAGAAATCGATTTCGTGATCGAGCTATGCATCAACAATTGAATAAGGATTTGGTCGAGCATATATGGACAAAATATTCCAGAAATTAAGTTTAAAACATTTGTGCTTTATTTTATAAATTGTATCTCATGTATGTTTTAATTTTTTTAATTTGCAACAATTATTAAATTTTCTATAATTATAAATTTTATTTTTATATTAATATTTATTTTTCTAATAACCACATGTTAAGAGCCTACCATTAATCACACAAAAATTTTAACTCAAAAATACTATCTCTTAACAATCACTTTTACAAATAAATTACTTAAATATTGCTAAGATTAATTTCTAAGAGACCACCTATAATCATGCTCTTAGACCATGAGCTACTCTCTGGGAGGTTCTTATCTTCTTATCAACGTTTCCTTTAGTGTCTTTCATTTCCTTGACTGTATTCGTCATTTGATGCTGAGTAGATTGTTCATTTGTTACACGCCTTAGAAGGATGAACAAACTGATGACATCGCTTGAATATTTTGCAACATCTCAATGCTTGTTTAAAATACTCCAAATATTTAGGAGACACACAATAAAGAATATTTAATGAGTTCACCTTATTTTTGCATTAGTTTATTATTTGTCTTTTTGTTGGTAGGGTATAAATTCAGATCCACCGACGCTCAAAATATATTCTTGGCCTAAGAGTAAGGTACATTCAATAATAACTATAGTTGAGACACACACACAAAACTATAAATGGGGTCTGTTTCTTGAAGACATATCGGTACGAATGGCAGATATAATGGGAAAAACGACACTAGTGGACCTACCAAACTAATAACAAGATCTATCAATATTTGACAGCAAGTGGTTTCATTCTTGTAAAAACCCTTTAGCGCGTAGGGTAAACGCGCTTCTCCCTCCTCTCTCTTCTTTTGTTTGCGGATCTAGAATTTTACTCCTCCACCTTTGCCTCTCCGGCGCCGGAGAGGGCTTGTTCTCTTTTCTTTTCTGTTGTAGTTCTTCTCTCCCTCCTTCGTCTCTGCTTTCCGTCGGGTTTGGCTGATTTTGGATGCGATTCTCCGCCTTTTCCGGCGTCTCTTGGTGGTGGTTGTCGGATTGAAGCTGTTGCGTGTCGCTTGGAGGCTCTCGGCTTGCTGGTCGGATTCACCTTGGTTCTTTGCTTGGGGACGGCTTTGTAACCGGCTTGTTTCCGACAGCTCCTTTTGGTCGGATCTCTTTCACGCAACAGTCCTCTTCTCCGGCAAGGGTTTTGGCTTTGTTGAGGTGGCTGGATATGTTTGCTCTTCTCCTTAACGGCGGGTTTGTGTTCTCAAATAGTATTGAGGTGGCTGGATATGTTTGCTCTTCTCCTATGCACCGCTGCAGCTTTTCTTGATCTGTTTTTGCCGGTTCATGGTGGTCGCGTTTTCTGGCTGCTCGGGTCGTGGTGGAGCTCGAAGGTTGGTTGGCGGCGCATGCTGAGGCTGATTCTCTGTGGTGGTTGCCGACGTGGTCCTCCTCGCCTCCGTGTCTCAAGTTTGGGTCATGGCTCTAAGTGTGGGTCGTCGGTGCTGCAGTTCGATTCGGAGTGTGGCGGCTTGGTTCTTCTCCGGTGTGGCAATGGATTTTATGTTCATTCTGAGAAGTTGTCTCCTTGGTTTGTGGTCTTTCGATGCTTTGTGCATTGGCTTGATTGGGTTTTTGGCGGTTGTTGTTGTGTTCTTTGTTGTGTTGCAGCTTGGTGAAGATCGCGAAAAACTTGGTAAGGGTTTTGAGGTTGAATAGAGGCGACGGTTCGGTCTAGATGGTGTTCTCAAGTCCATGGGAGTTGTTTCTTGATGCGTCATGCTCGGGAAAAGTGGCCAGAGGCGGCTTCTCTGGCTGCCCGTTGGTGCTCCCGTGCCGCCGGGTTTGATTATATCCTCTCTAGCGGTTCCGTTTTTGCGTTAGTTCTCGGAGAAGCTGTAAGTGGCCCTTTGTTCTGAGGTTTGAGGACTGCTTCAGATAGGGTCTGCTCGTGGCAACAACGATGAGAACTCGAGTTTTTTTGAACTGAGGCAATCGCGCAATTGTCCAAGCTTCGCGGTTTGGAATCGGTGTTTCTTCCTTGGGCCTCCGCTGATGGTTTTCGCTTGTGTTTTCCTTGTTGTGTTTTATTTTATTTTTCATTGTAGTTTTCGATCTTTCTGTCTTCCTTGTTTTCTATGTAATCTCTGTCACAAATCTAAAATCGGTATAAAATTTCACCTTTTATCAAAAAAAAAAAAAAAAATCCAGAGTTCTTGTTGTACTATTCAATTTCCTCTTGCATGTGCAAGTTTTTGTTTTTTCTCTTTTTTGAACTGAAAATAACAACATGCAACTGTACATAAATTTTTCAAAAAAAAAAACATGCAACATGAACAGTGCCGCGATTTTTAGGGTTAGGGTTTTAGGGTTTTCGTTAAGAGCAAGTCGTGCTGATAACGTGTTGTAAACTGTGTTGTTCTATTGATTAATGAATGAGATTTCGATACATATATATACATGATGAAGGGAGACAAATCCCCATTGGGCTAGTAAACCCTAAAGCCCAAAAGCCCACTAAGTACAATATAGGCCGTCATAAGGAGAATCTTCAAGAACATGGGCATGGGCCTTCTAGGACATGGACATGGGCCTTCTAGAATATGCATAAGGTCCACGGTTATGGAGTCCATCCAACATGTGGTTTATAACACACCAATATTTGCGACAAGTCTAAACCAAAGATTTCGACTTTCGTTTTATAATTAACCAGAATTAAAGATATGTCACATCAGCTATAACGGCTCATTATACTGGCGATAGAGAGCCTTTCGCTTAGGAAATTTTTTATGACTTCTAGTTATGAACCAAAATCTAACCCTTCCAATTTTAACATTAGGCTTGGTTCACGACTTCACTTGATAGTTGTGTGAAGGGTTGGTTGCTCGTTGTGATAAGTTCAATGCATCCGAGAATATACTAACAAAAGTTCTAATCTGCGTCATAATATTTATGTGTTTGGTCTTTAGTCATTTGACAAATCACTTGTTAGCTTTCATATTATATAGTTCAATATTTTCTTACGAAAACAAGTTTTGCCCTAATTATCCTTCAATAGTACGAATAGCGTGTTGGTTAGTTGTGAACTTGTAACAATATGCAAGTTGCAGTTATATTAAAATGAGTAAACATTACTCACAAATTAGTATCAATTGTTTTATGTAACAATATAAAAGACTGTTTTTGGTAATGACAATCTAGTTTAAAATATAGGTGATTATAAATAATGATAATATGTTGGCCAAATGATTTTAAATTTTTTTGGTCAAGATTAAAACCAAAGAAATAAGTAATTTCGAAAAAATTTGTACGTATTTTTCTTTTTTTAAATTGATGATGAAATAACACAAAACTATTTCAGTTTTTAGTTTCATATGAAAATATCAGATTAGTGTAATTTTTTTTTTATCCGAAACAGAATTGTTTTTCTTGTTCCTCTTTTTTTGCAAAAAATTAGTATCCATAACCATAATTATTAATTCACTGATTGTATGATTAACCCCATATTTAAAAACAGAATTGTCACTCTTTTCGGAAAATCTAAAAAAAAGGATGAAAAGTCAATGTCTTTTACCAGATCCACCAAACTCTCTGTACAACTAATCTCAACCGTCCATCTCACTCCCGCCTTTATCTATTTAACCTCACTTCCTCACCATCCTCTGTCTCCTCCTTCATCACACAGATCCACAGATCAAAAAACTATTCAAAATTCAGCAAAAATGGCTTTGCTTGTTGAGAAAACCTCAAGTGGCCGTGAATACAAGGTCAAAGACATGTCTCAGGCCGACTTCGGCCGGCTCGAAATCGAGCTAGCCGAAGTCGAAATGCCTGGACTTGTCTCTTGCCGTACTGAATTCGGACCATCTCAGCCACTCAAAGGAGCAAGAATCACCGGATCACTCCACATGACGATTCAAACCGCTGTTTTGATCGAAACGTTAACCGCTCTCGGCGCTGAAGTCAGATGGTGTTCTTGCAACATCTTCTCAACTCAAGATCACGCCGCGGCAGCGATTGCTCGTGATTCCGCCGCGGTGTTCGCTTGGAAAGGTGAGACTCTTCAAGAATATTGGTGGTGTACGGAGAGAGCTCTTGATTGGGGTCCTGGTGGTGGTCCTGACCTTATCGTTGACGACGGTGGTGATGCTACACTGTTGATCCATGAGGGTGTTAAAGCTGAAGAGATCTTTGAGAAGACTGGTACGTTCCCTGACCCGACGTCTACCGATAATCCCGAGTTTCAGATCGTGTTGGCGATTATCAGAGACGGTCTTCAAGTTGATCCCAAGAAGTACCATAAGATGAAGGAGAGATTGGTTGGTGTTTCTGAAGAGACTACTACTGGTGTTAAGAGGCTTTATCAGATGCAGGAGACTGGAACTCTCTTGTTCCCTGCCATTAACGTCAATGACTCTGTCACCAAGAGCAAGGTAATGGATCAATATATCAAAATATTCGTGTTCGAAATTGCAAATTTTGATGCATATGTGTCTCATTGTGACTCTAGAAGACTAGATATGATACTGTTTTGTCTAATTTGTAGATAATGTGGATGATATTGCCTAATTATTGATCCATTTAGGTGGAAGCAAGAACTCTGTTTTTTTGCTCTGTTTCACTGATGATTTGTTTGCTTTATAGTTTGACAACTTGTACGGATGCCGACACTCGCTACCCGATGGTCTCATGAGGGCTACTGATGTAATGATTGCTGGAAAGGTTGCTGTTATCTGTGGTTATGGTGATGTAGGAAAAGGTTGTGCTGCAGCAATGAAAACCGCGGGTGCTCGTGTCATAGTGACTGAGATTGATCCAATCTGTG